TCCTCCATAGCTCCAGCTTCTGCTACCAAAAACCAAAACCAAATTCATTGCTGTCAAGCTGATTCAACTCATAGCAACCCCTCCTTGGTTTCCGAGGCAGTATCTCTACAGAAGTAGATTGCCTAGTCTTCCTTCCTAGGCTTCTGCTACGCTCCAATAATACTATTTCTTCTTCTCCTTTTAATCCTTGGTAACAGCGTTCTGGGAGCCCTGGTAGTACAGCAGTTAAGTGCTCAGCTACTAACCAAAAGGTCAGCTATTAGAACCCACTAGCAGCTCCACAAGAGCAAGATGTGACAATTTTCTCTGGCAAAGATTTACAGCTTTGGAAACCTTATGGGGCAGTTCTACTCTGTCCAATACAGTCACTACAAGTTGAAATCAACTTCACTGCAACGAGTTTGGAATTTTTACAATTTTGTTTAGCTTTCTGCTTTGTTAGTCTCTGCATGTCTTAAAATCCCTAGTTGGGTCTCTTACCCTTGCATAAGCCTCTGTAAGTAGTCTTTTGAACCATCTGGCTAATTTTTCCGCTGGGACTCTGACTGATAAAGATGTGCTCCTGTAAGGGCTAGAACTATTGTAGCTATTTTGCTTCCACTAAAGCGGCCAACTCAAGGATAACTTTGTATGTAAGGAAAAGTATAAGCATATCATCAAAAAATGAAGTCAGGAGCTTAATTAAATTGCACTTTAAGCCAGATACCTTCTGGATACAATTTATTGGAAAAAGAACAGATGACTACTCCCTTAACATGATAAAAATATGTAAGTTTCTAACAAAAAGTCCATTGTGCATAAAGATTAAACACTAGAAGTATTCCTATTAAAATCAGAAAAAAGACAAGGATACTAGTTATTACCAGAGTTATTTTACATTATTCTTGAAGTACTAGATAATACAATTAGCCAAGAGAAAAAAGTGTGATATTAATATTGGAAAGGAAGAGGCAATATGATCATAATTATAAAATAAGCAAATCCGAGAATTGACTAATAACCATTTGAAACAGTAAGAACTCCATGAATAGACTGGTTATAAAATAATTCCTTCCCTATATAAAAACCATGGAAGCGCTGGTAGCGTAGTGCCTAAGGCACTTGACTGCTAACCAGAAGGCTAGAGGTTCAAACCCACCAGCCTCAGAAGGAAGGTTGGGCAATCTACTTCCATAGTGATACTGCCTCGGAAACCCAAGGAGGGGTTGCTGTGAGTCAGGTCTGACTCGATGGCACATAACAACAACAAATAAAAACCATAAACAGAAAATATAAGATCTAATTTACTATAGCCATGGAAAAAGATAAGAATACATTACTTAAAAATAAATTTAATAAAAAATCTACAAGACATAGTCATTCATTCAACAATTATTTATTGATAATCTACAATATTGTAGAAGTTTTGTTTCAATATATAGAAAATCTACTGAGAGATATTAATGAAGACAAATAACTAGAAAAATTTGCTTCTTGAATAGGAAGATATTCTTTTGACGATGCCACGTATTCCTCAATTACTTTATAACTAACATCTAATTCCAACAGAAATAAAACCAGGATTTTTTAGGCCAACTTGACAAAATAATCCATTTTATCTCTAAATCAATACATGTGAATAGGCAGGTAAATTCTGAAAAAGAAGAGTAATTAGGGAGGACTTATCCTACCAGATATTAAAACATGATGGAAATAAAGAGGGATAACTTGATACTTACTGTTAAGAAAATTTGCTAACGATTTAGAAAACACAATTCCATATGTGCCAAAAATTTAAATGTAAAAAAGAAAAATTAGAAAAAAAATACAGGTCTTCCTAAGCAGGACTCAAATTTTTTTAAAAAATGTGAAGAAAGAATTGCTAAATTTTGTGTATAAAGATTAAAAATTTCTATCTAGCAGAATTCCAAAGAAAACTATAAATTGGGAAAAATACTTATAATACTTATGATACTCAAAGGGTTCATTTCCTTAATTTATAGAAAGTTCTTATATATTAATAGGGAAAAGATGAATAACCTACTGGAAAAATGGGGAAAGTTTATAAATAGGCAGTTCATAGAAAGAGAAATACAAATGGCTAATAAACTTATGAAATGTTGCTCAATCTCTTTTAGTGAAAAAAAAGTCTACATTTCTTGGAGTATGAGGGTATCATTGTTGATGTCAGTTGGATCTTGGCTGAAAGCAGAGAATACAAGGAACAGTGTAAAGACAATGTAGCCAAAAGGCAAACAACCCAAGTATTCATCTACAGATACAGGGATAGACAAAACACGGTATACAGATATGATGGAATATTACTCACTCATAAAGATAAATGAAGTTCTAATACATGGATGAACCTTGAAAACATTGTGCTAAGTGAAATAAACCAGATACAAAATGACAAATATTGTATGAATCCCTCTTATATGAAATATCTAGATTAGGCAAATGTATAGAGATAAAAGTTTGCTAGTGGTTACCAGGGGTTGTGGGGAGGAAGGAATGGAAATTATTGTTGAAGGGGTACCAAGTTTCTGTTAAAGGTGCTGAAAACCTTTTGGAAATGAATAGTGATAAAGGTAGCACAGGGAGCTCTGGTAGCATAGTGCCTAAGGCATTTGACTGCTAACCAGAAGGCTGGTGGTTCAAATCCACCAGCCACTCCTTCTAATGAAGATGGGGCAATCTACTTCCCTAGTGATACCGCCTCAGAAACCCAAGGAGGGGTCACTATGAGTCGTATCCAACTCCATGGCAGAGGACAAACGGTAGCACAATATATTGAGTGTAACTGATGTCATTGAATTGCCCACATAAAAATGGTTGAAATGGAATCATGAAAAAGACCAGACTTACTGGTTTAATAGATTAGTGGAACCCCCAAGACTAAGGCCCTTAGACATCCTTCAAACCTGGAACTAAACCCACTGCTGGAGATTACCTGTCAGCCAAACAACAAACAGGCCTATAAAGAGAACATTAACACCTGAGGAACAAACATGCTCCTCAGAACAATCAACCATATAAGACTAAAAGGGACTCATTTGCCACCAAAGAAAAATTCAGAAGGCAGGGGGAAAAAAAAAAAAACTGCAAGCAAACTCACTGCCTTTGAGTCTATTAGACACTACCTTGGGTTTCCGAGGCTGTATCACTACGGAAGTAGATTACTCAATCTTCCTTCAGAGGAGTGGCAGGTGGGTTTGAACCGCCAGCCTTCTGGTTAGCAGTCAAATGCCTTAGGCACTAGGCCACCAGAGCCCCTACAGAAGGAAGGGGCAGGAAAAATGGTTGAATGGAAATGGAGAACCCAAGAAGGGAGTGGGAAGAGTGCTGTTACACTGAGGGGATTGCAACTAATGTCACAAAATAAAATATTTATAATTTGTTGAATGGGAATCTAATTTTCTCTGAAAACTTTCACCCAAACAACAATAAAATGTGTTTTTTTTAAAATGCTGACATTGAATAGGTAAACAAACTTTAAAAAGAAAAAAAGGTTGAAATGGTAAGCTTTTTGTATCAGTTAGACCTGTGTTAAGGCAGAAGCCTGTCAGAGAAGGAAAACTCAAATACCTTCCACTACAATGAGTGATAGAAAAGTGATTAGACTGCACCTTGTCAAAGGCGGAATACTTCTGAGACTGGGAAAAACAAGGCATTTCCATCAAGTTCCATCTCAATTCTTATTATTATGTAAAAATAACAAAACAAAACAAAACACCCCAAATGGCTGATGCATGGCAGAGTCAGGATTCAGACTCAATCTGAATACGGAGACACTGCACTATTCAACCATATTGATGCAAAAAACCTTAAGTGATGGTGTATAATGCTATTTGAGCCCTCTTCATTGCCAATTTGCTTCACTGCCCTTTATCATAGGGAAAATTAGCAGGATACTAAATGAGTAATAAGTCTCTTTCTTTGTAATCTTGATCAAAATGATTTTTTATAAAAACACCAGCAACTTTGTACAAACCAATTACTTGATTGTTTCCAAAGGCTAAATTTCCACAAGTGGAATAGCACATCTTGAAGGCTTCCAAAACACGTGTCCTTGTACCAATGTATACTATTGGACCTTGTACCAATGTATACTACCACCAACCAGCACAGCTGGAAAGCGCCCCTTTCGCCACATCTTCACCAACACTATGGGGCAGAAGAGAGGCAGACTTTCTATATGAATCCCAACATCTCTCTCAATGGTCCCACAAAGTACTAAGTACTGAAAATTATTTTTTATATGACTACATTTTCTTATGGCTTCAAAATAGTTAACTTACTCAGCTACGTGGATACCATGAAAGAGCATTTTCCTATCAGATACCCCCTGGATCATAAATTCGTCCCTCTCTGTATGCCCCCAGAACAGGTTTCAACACTTAATCTTCTAAAGGGCCTCCCCCTTCCATTCTCCCCATCCCATTCCCACAGCCACCAGTGAAATGTCATGCTTTTAGCATCTCTTTCATGGACTATGGTGCTAAATTCCTGATTTCCCCATCTCCAGTTGCCACCACTCTTCCCACCCCATTGCAACCCATCCTTTACACAGACCAGTCATATTCATTTTCCTTTCATACATCATTCCTCTGGTCACAAAAGGCTTTAGTGGCTTCTGGGAGTGGATGGAGTTAAGATTCAGATGCCTGTCACAGAGCTCACCTCACTGTCCAACCCCATCTCCCATCATTCCCTTCCCCACACTTTGCACGCCAGGCAAGCCAGACTCCTCTCTGGAGCATATTCCCACCTCCATGGTTGTCTTCCCATTACTCCTCTCTCCTGAAATGCCTTTCTGACCCTTGTTTACCCTAGCCTTCAAGCCAGCTTACTTAAGTGGCTCCCTACTGTGTAAAACCTCCCTGAGCACTGTTGCCCAAAGCAGCTTCTGTCATCTCTAAGCACCAACAGAAAGCACCTGGCATGATCATCTTTTTGTTTTCTTGTATCTTAACTTCCCAAAGAGTATAAACTCAAAGACAAGGATGATGCCTTTTTTTTTCTTTTTTGCTGCTTAAAACGCACTTTATTGATGAAACATAAGCTCTAGATTAACAAATGTAAACCTATACAAAAGTGTAGCTTATTCATGATGTATGATTAGTTCACTGTCAGTTTAGATAGAGTAAAAATATGTTTAAGTAGCAATATTGAATCAATAAGAGCGTTATCTTTATAAGTTCTAATATTCATGTGGCATCTTTAAAATGGTCCATCCTAAACTCCACCTTCACAACCAGCATCACTGTTGTTGATCTGTGCTATTCATTATTCCAAAATGGCAGCTGAAAAGACCCCTTTGACCTATGAGCACAGTGAAAATCAAAGAATTTACCAAATGCATTGTTCCCAATGGCAAACTAAGAAATCACACCACTACGGTTTGGGACAAAGCCCTAATTAGAGTTTGGTCAATACTTTCAGGACTTTTACCTTCACCACCAGATCATTGTGATTTGCTAATGCTTTGATTTTCTTAACACACACTCCAGATTCTTTGAATAAGAAAAAAAGTGAACTTCTGCTGAATTCTTTCCTGGATGATGCAAACCCTTCACTTTTTATGTTGTCATTTATATTCTCAAAAATGGTAAGGATATTAAGAAGAATCTCTCTGTCTCGTTCTTTATTAAAGAGGGAGATCAATTCGGATGGTACTTTACTACCGAGCAGCTCTCTTGTCATGGCTGGATTTTCAGTAAAGTTTATAATGAGTTTCATAATCTGTATCTTGGTGAAGTGATTTCCCAGGAATAACAAAGCAAAAAAGTCTGGAAAAGAATAGGAAAGCAAATGTTGGTAATGATTAGTCACCGTCATGTTGGTTAACAATCTTAGACCAGCCATCTGCACAGCTGAATCCAATCGACAGATCATAGTGTCATCACACACCTGACTGATGTACGTCTTAATCTTGCCCTGATTTTCAGCAATGACACTCAAATTATTAAGGGCATTGTAAGCCTTTTCCCTAATAATGGGGTCTTTCGTTTTTATCATTTTTGCAATAATTGGGACACCACCCAATTCACGAATGGCATTTTGGTTAAATGTGTATGCCGCATTGTTACCCAAAGTGACCAAAGCTACTTCTTGAATGAAAGGATCATTTGATCTCTCCAGAATGTTAAGGACTTTTTGAAGGTCAGTAGCACCCAAAATATCATCAATTTTATAGGGAAAGTTGAACTTAACCCTGCGGGCAGGCCATGCTGTAGGCGGAGGCCTAGTGCTCTTGCTTTTAGGCTTTCCCTTTGATTTTCCACTTGCTTTTCCCCCAGTCCTAGCCCTGGCAGGGTGGCAGCCTCCACCCCTGCCTCCTGGGCAAGGTAAACTTGATGAAAGTGTCCTGGTCCCAGAGCCGACACCCAGTCTGCCTCCTCTGCCCATCTTTGCACTTGCCTGTTCTTTCAGGGTGCTGAAAAGAGCCCTGGCCTTGGCCTCTAAGCCACCCCCACTCTGGGCCCCCAAGTGGGCCTCTGCCTTTAAATCTGGATCACTCTTGACTCCCAAGCCCACTTCAGCCTTGGCCACTGTGTCAGCCTCAACTCTGGCTGATGCCACAGACCCAGGCTTAGCCTGAGCTTTTTTCTCAGTCTCTGCCCTGTCACTAGTCTCCTCGTTATCCTCCCAGATTTGCTCGCTTTCATCTCTTCCCCAGGTCAGTTTGTATACACAGTAGCAGGCGCCAGCCCCGATCACCACCCCAGCGGCCACACAACCAGCATCCCGAGTACGGCCCATAGTACAGCTGGGGAGAATCTCTGAACCCAGACACAGGCGGAGTGGGCTTGCTCTGGCCCAGAGGAGTCAAGAGCAGGGATCTTCAGCTATTGCTGGCAGGCTCTGTTGCAGCTGCAGATAAAGTGGGACCTAGGAATAAAGAGAAGATTTGAGGGTACGGATTCCTCCTCCTTTTGAGTCTTTGCATGCAGACAGACAGAACCACAGATCAACAAAGGAACCGATATAGCAGGGGCTCAGGGCTTGGTACCTAGACCACCTAGTCCTTTGCTCAGGAGCTAATTTTGGAAAGTTCTCCACCTCCAGGGTCTCCAACATGCTGTTCCCTCATCCCACCCCAGTTGTTAAAGTATCTAATCACTTCCCTGGAGCCCTGGTGGCACAGTGGTTAAAACGCTGGGATGCTAGCTGAAAGGTTTGGGGTTTGAACCTACCAGCTGCTGCACTGGAGAAAGATGACACAGATGGCTTTGTTGAAGATTTATAGCTGTGGAAGTCCTATGGGGGCAGTTCTACTCTGTCCTAGAGGGTCACTATGAATCAGAATCAACTGGATGCAATAGGTTTGGTTTTGGAATCAGTTCTTAAGGAGCCCTGGTGGCACAATTGTTAAGTGCTGCTAACAGAAAGGTTGGCGATTTGAGAAAACACCTGGTGATCTGCTCCTGTCAAGATTACAGCCTAGGAAACCTTATGGGGCAGTTCTATTCTGTCACATATGGTCCTTCTGAGTTGAAATTGACTTGAGGGCATCTAACAACAGCAACAATCAGTTCCCTACCACCCTTGCCCTTCCAGACGTCCTGGAACCATGGTGCTCTCACATACACCCGCACTGATCCAGGCAGTTTCTTATTTCTCCTCTTTCTTTGCCTTGAGGCACACTTCCTCCTGTAAACCTGTAGACAAGGGGGTGAGAAGGGTGATGCTGAGCTCTCTGAGGACAAATGGAGCTAACCAGGACACACTTCTCTTGAATCTCTTGAATCCTACACTGCTCAATGTTTCCCACCTTCAGCTACTCTCAAGAGTCACTGTTTGGAAATTCATTCTCTCCCTCTCCCTCCTCCTTCCATTCTGCCCTCCAATCTTCCCCCTCCCTGAACCCGTTAGCTACTTCCTCAGAAGATGATGCCACACCCCTGTCCTTGTAACAAAATAGATGGTGGCAGGGCAAAGGAGTGTGGAAGCCTGAGAGACATGAAATGATTTAAAGTCTCAAACTCTGCTCTTGCCTCTGTACCCTCCACTATCTCAGGATACCATGGCAATCCCTGTCCCCCCCATACCAACTTCCACTGGTCCAGAGCAATTTTCTTCTTCCCTTAACTGTGCTGCCACCTCCACCAAACATAAGAGAACTCTGGAACTGAACGATCAGTGTGGGTGGACCAACACCAAGGACACTGTTGTTGTTATGTGCCGTGGAGTCAGACCCGACTCATAGCGATCCCTCCTTGGGTTTCCGAGGCAGTATCACTACGGAAGTAGACTGCCCAACCTTCCTTCCGAGGAGTGGCTGGTGGGTTTGAACCGCCAGCCTTCTGGTTAGCAGTCAAGTGCCTTAGGCACTATGCTACAACTGTACGCCTACTATTTGGAACAATGTCCTCCCCATTTCCATCTCAGGACTCTCCTGAATCTGTCCCTTTCCAACCACTTTCTTCCCTGTCTTGTACCTCCAGAGCCCTTTCCTTTCCAAGCTGCAAAACGGTGTATTAGAGAGGGAAGGGGGAGGTGAAAGAGATCCATTCCACCGGCACCACCACTCCCGAGTTTGCAATCTCCACCATCCTCCATCCCAAGAGCTGGAAGCAATGCCACTGGCTTCACTCTCACCTACTTGGTTCTGGGCAGTTTTCTTCTTCTTGCAGCTCGGCTTCAGCCTCTCCCTATGAAATGGCCTTCAGGCGCAACATCCACAGAGAGGGACAGGCAGAGACGAATGACTCCGCGGACAGAACAGCAGTTTCAGAGAGAGTCCCAATGCCTGCTCTTCCGAATTCAGGGTCCTGGTTGTCAGAGGAATTCCACCTTTTTGCCTCTCACCCTACGCCCACTTCTTAACATTCCGCTGACAGCAGCCCTCTCCTTAAAGGCTGTCCTTTCACTCGCTACGCCCCACTCCATACCCACCCACAGAGGTCAGCCATTTTCCCAGTGAAAACCACACCCCTTTGTAACTACCGAAGAGGAGGTGGGGCGAGGGATTACGGAAAACCAGAGGAGCGCGAAAGGAAACCAAAGAATCTCTTCAGTCACCTCCCCAGCCGATTCCTGCACTGAATAATAGCTTTTTTTTTTTTCCTGTGAGCGATGTCACATCTTTTTTCTTGTATAAAATGGAAAGGGGACTCAGAAAAGGGCCTAAATTAAGGCAAAGACCTCAGCCATCCTGGCAATTCCACCTTTACACTGACCTGCAAGAATTTGGGGCAGATTCTTTATTCCCTTGCTCTGAGTGAAAAACAAGGGGGATGACAGACAGACGGATGCACAGCCCTAAAATTTCTGCTTTGGTGGATGGACCACCACACTAATCCTAATACCTGCCCTCCCCGATTCAAGATCTTGGATGCCAAAGATCTCCCTTCTTCTGGTCTGGAATCTCCCTTGGAATCCGGGCCCCAAGGTCCACCATTTTTATTTTAGAAATAGGTGGGTACAGTGCAAAGGATAGAGAAAGCAGACCGTATCCACCTTATGTCTCCACCCTCCACTAACCGCACCGCAGGGATTCCCAGGGAGCGCCCATTCACAAACAGACCTGCTGAGATCAAGGCGGATACCTCTTCCTTCCCCGGAGCACAGGCCCGCCAACCCTCAAGGCAACTGACCCAAACGAAGCCCAGGATTAGAAGGACGTCAGCACTCGTTGGCTCCTGCTCACGTGAGAACAACGTCACCAGTGAGGTCAGGACCCCCATTACCACTCCTACCAGCAGTGCGGCAGAAGCCAGCCCTCCCCTTCCTTTTCCCGCCACATCAGGTCCTGTCATTCATTTTCCCTTTTGCCAATCCCAGGAACCAATGCCCCTTCTCCTGTTGGTTGGAATTTTCCTTTCGTTGGTTGACAGAAAGAAGCTGCATTTGCTCCTATGGCCTTTTCTGCCTCTTTGAATATTTTTTTTTTTCTCTTCTCTGCTCCCTGTCAAGCCACCTATCCCTTCACATCCCCATCCCTCAGCCATGGAAGTCTAACATTTTCCCTGCACCCCTGTAGGAAATGGAAGGAGTGGAAGAGTATCTCAGAAGAGGAGACAGGGAGTGGAAATAAGTGTCTTGTTTTATTTTCAAACCTTTATATTCCTTTTTTTTTTTTCAAAAAAAAAATCAATATGTGTTGCTTTATATTGAGAAAAAAATAATGCTGTTTTCATTTGTGTGGAGGATTTAAGTTGGAGGGGAAAAAACAAAAGATCTCATTAATTTCATTATATTTATTTGTAACACAAGGAAAATGGTTCTATTGATTATAGCCAAATAACAGCGTTCAAAACATACTTACCTGTTTTAAAATGGAAAGCTGGATATCCTAAAGAAGTGAGAGACAGTGCACGAACAGACATATGTACACCTATGTTCACCGCAGCACAATTCACTATAGCAAAGTGATGGAAACAACCTAAATGCCCTTCAACGGATGAGTGGATAACCAATTATGGTATATGCACACAACTGAATACTATGCTACATATTAAAGAACAATGAGGAATATGTGAATCATCTCACAATGTGGATGAACCTGGAGGACATTATGGTGAGTGATATAAGTCAATCACAGAAAGACAAGTACTGTATGAGCCCATTACTGTAAAAAGACAAAGAAGGGCTTGCTCGGGAAAAGGAACTCACTCACTTAGTAGGTTACCAGGATGGGGAGGGAAGGGGAGGGATTAATTTCAGGCTAGTTGGGGCCCACACGCTGACGTGGGTAGGGGGAGGGATATATAGGAAGGGTCTGTGACCACCATGATAACATTAGGAAATGGGGGGCACACCAAATTGTGCACATAAGAGATAGATGACAGATGGTAATACCAACCAATGTGTCCACAATACTGCATTGTCATTAACACCAAACACCAGGCTACAGATAAACACATAAACACCTGAGAGGATCAGATGGGGGTCAGTGAACAGGAGTATACTCCAGACCAAGGATAGATTCAGCTGAGGCTAATCTTGCACAGAGACCAGTGATGCAAAATACCTGCAGTCCTTACAGAAACAACAGAAGACAGACACAGAGTAATCCCTCACAGACAACCAGACACTATGGGAGAGAGATCCAATAGATCTACTGTATCAGGACCATAGTACTAGGGGACACCAGATTCAATTGGCACAACAAAATACATAGAAGGCTTGTTCCGCATCCTACATTGGTGAGTAGCGACTGGAGTCTTAAAAGCTTTCAAGTGGCCATCTAAGATGCAGCTAATGGTCTCCTAGTGTTGGAAGTGAAGAAGAACGCAAAAAACAAAAACAAAACAAAACAAAAAAAACCAAGGGCATTTGGAAGCAATCAGCCCTAGGACATGATGGCCCTCAAGACCAGAAGAACTAGATGGTGCCCGGCTACCAATGGCAACCACTCAGTAAAGGATCAAATCTGGAGATCCTGGATAGAGTAGGAGGGAAAACATGGAACAAAATCCAAAAACTCAATGTTGTTGTTGTTGATATGTGCCATTCAGTCTGTCCTGACTCATAAAGACCCCTCCTTGGGTTTCCAAGGCAGTATTACTACGGAAGTAGATTGCCCAACCTCCCTTCCGAGGAGTGGCTGGTGGGTTTGGACCGCCAGCCTTTTGGTTAGCAGTCAAGTGCCTTAGGCAGTACGCTACCAAAGCTCCTAAAAACTCAATAATGACCAGAATAATTGGTCAGATGGAGTCTGGTGAGACCTCCAATACTAGCCTTGGAATACCTTCTGGGCTTGGAATAAAATTCACCCCCAGGGGCCGGCTCTCAGCCCAATAGTTAACAAGATGTAC